AAAAGTGGTCCAAACTTGGTGGGTGATCAGCATTCGATAAGCGCTATGTCCACACAAAATTAGAAGTCTCTAGCTATCATGGTTCTTGAGTTACAGGGGGGGTCGGTACTTTTGACAAGTACTGTAAACTAGTATAACAACAACTGGAAAAAACATTTTTCATGCTGTTTTTTTATGAGTTTAATATGCAGAATTTTTTAGATCTGATTATCACAAGAAGCAGCGACTCCATAACACATGCAGATCTGTAGTCGATTAAGCAAATTGACGCCTAATAGAAATGATACCAGTCGATTTTTGGTACAGGTCTGCCAGTATTAAACGCGTTTAAAAAGCTATTTGCATTTGTGGACGCTGTAAATTCTAAAACGGTCTTTCTCAAATCTCCATATAAAAACGTCCGTATGCAACAAACATGTACCTTTTCCCCTACAAATCATGAAATACAAAAAATAAAAAAATTTGTCGTAGTACAAAAAATAAAAGTCAAAACTGAGAAATGATTTACGTACAAAAATATCAAAACAAAGACATTGATAGTAAGAGTATGCAAAAGCATGCCTGGACAAAACAGAGGCACCAAACATAATAAAAAAGAATAAAAAAACATTATAACTTTATAGATTAAACGTAGTGAAAATTAACTAGTCATTCACAATTTATCTTTTAGAATTTTATGTCATGGAATAATCTGTTGCAAATTGGACTGATTTTAATGAAGAAGTCTAAATGAATGAAACAGTAAGATTATTCTGATAAATATTGCATCTATCAATTTCATTTTTCATAAATGTAACTAAAATCTAGTTCAAAATAAAAATCTTACTTTTGCTTTTTTCTCTCATCGGCAATATCACGAATAACGTTTGTACATTCATGATCAATCTGAAAATATGTTTTTGTTGGACTTGTTACTGGACGAATCGGATTTACTAAAACACCATTTTCAACCATATAATTAGATGTTGGTGTCTGTTTAGATAATTGAAGATATTTTAAACCACTTTCATTTAATTTTGGAATGTTTGAGATATCATTCTAGAATGAAACGAAAGATCTAATAAAAGAATTTTAATAAAAAATTGAGTCAAATTAGTGATAATAGTATAGTACCGTATTTAGCTCGTATCACAGAATAAAGAGTTATTAACAGTAAATCGTTCTCAATACCACAGTTAGTAGTACATGATTGTAATTTTAAGTCACTTACATCCGTATGACTATTATTAATATTTGTCATCAATTTATGAGAATTCAAACTTAATTCTAGCGGATCTGCTATAGGTACTAAGTAATCATTAGTGTTCAATGCCTCTAAATAGATAATACGACTTCACTGACTACAAGAAACATTTCTACTGGCAACTTACCATGGCTCTTTGAATTTCTTAGTTCTGTTGTTGTTATTGTTTTTGCTGCTGAATTACCATTCATCGGTAAATAATCGCAATCTGAATATGGTCGATTACGAATAGGTTCAGGATGTGGTCTTACGATGGCTGCTATGGTCGATGGTGAATGTTGTTGCTGTTTCTTTTTAAATGGTTTTGACTTTGTAGGTGGTTGTGATGAGACAGAAAGTATGTAACTATCCTAGAATAACAAGAGTAGGTTATGTGGTAGATGTAACTGATCTGTAACAAAATCATACAATCTTTTGATTATTTGAATGATCTTCAGAGTGGTAATTTCGTCGATGTTCTTGACGATGATTCGAAGGAAGACGTTTTCTAATAAACGATAACATATCCAGCTAGCCTAAATGATAATCTAAATAAAGTGAATTCGGTGAAATATTGAATACAAACAATAATAAACGTAATTCTCCAGAAAGATGGAAAGCCGTGGGAGAAAAACAACAATAAAAAACTAAAGCGAAGTAGAGATGAAAGCTAAAAAACAAAGAAAGAAAGAAAAAGGAAGTTTCATCCATGTCAAAGGTAGACTTTTCGTCCGGTTTCCAAAATGATAGTTCAATATTCTGTGCTGAGAAATCAAGCTTACCTCTCGCCGATAAGTTCGGAGAGGTGATTGAAAAAACTTGACTCGATAGAAAAGAATAATGAAGGAAAAAAATGAATGACTCGGCTTTATCTGCATGAAATGTAACAGTTGATTTAAGTAAGCTATTTATTTAATTAAGAGATAGAGCAACATCTTGATTGTGACACTAAAAGAAAAATGTTACTCCGCATTATTATCAGTCTCCCAAAAAAAGAAGGTAAATAAACAACTATACGACGAAAAATTTTTTAATAATTCTAAGTAACAATGGAAATAATAAATACGTATACACCAACACACACACAGACATACATGCATAAAAGACTAGAGCAAAGACATGTTCATAGAATAAAAAATAACAAGCAAGGATCTAATTATCAACTTAAAATCTGTTTGTGTTACATATGTAATCAATAGCGATAAGGTAAATGAGTGTACATCCTTCTTTTGCTAACGATTTTCTCAAAAGTTGACACGAAGTCTGTTCTACATGACTTCTTGATCTCTGGAGATATTGTATACATGATGAAAGAAAAAAATACATCTATAGTAGACGGAAAGACCAGTTTTTAATATTATTTGGGTAGTTTTACAAACATTTTGGGGAAGTGCTGGTCACATCTGGATAAAGGATGCAGAAAAGGATCTATTTGTCGCCACTAATTCAAGATTAATATTTTTGATGGAAGCTCTTTTTCGTAAGCTATGCTGTACTACTTCCCTTCGTTGAACATAGGCGCTTGCCCCACATAATACTTGGAATGAGATGGAAAAAATGCGCTTATTCCGTACACTTTTTCATTTGTTTAATTACAGAGAGATTCACAATTTTACACTAAAGAGGACGTCGCTGTTTTTGTCAATACTTTGATAATTATAGCTTGTCAGAAAAAGATGAAAACAGAAAATGTGGTCACATTTTGTTTCTGTGTAAACTCAAAACTTTCATCTAATAAACTTGAGTTACTCAAAAACGAAAAAAATGTAAGAAATAAACACATTTTTTTCATCTCAATCCACGTACCTTACAATAACCTTACATAAAAAAACAACCTACAATCAGTTTTGAATCCAACAGAGATAAATTATGGAAAAGAGGAAATCAAAAAGAACTTTTTGATAGAATTCCAGAACTTACGAAGACCAGAAAGTAATCGAAACATAACAGAAATAAGAAAAATATAAGAGTATCTGAACGCTTACAGAAAGTAAGAACAAAGATTTCTAGTTGCACCATCAATGGAAGATGACTGATCATATCCCGGGACGATAGTTACGGCTCTCCGTATTTTTGGTGTTCATCGTAATCCTGGTCACTGTAATACGGTACCGTATACGACGCTGTATTTATGCCATATACGGTCGTATGTATGCCGTATTCTCAGTAAACACGATCGTAAAATACTGACCTGGTTTACGGTAAAATACGGTGCGTAAACGACCCGTATATGACTGTTTACGGCCGTATACGTACCGTATTGCTCGACCAGGGATGGCTTCCGCTTTTGATACTTGCATATCCGTTGATTCCCTTTAGCTCCGAATAGTAGCTCCAAGAAGTCAGGATTAGTGCGAATTGACATAGATAGTCCCTCCTTGTGGAGCTAAAAGAAAACAATGTGTCATATCTAGTCACCTAACATTCATTCAGGAAAAGCCAATCATTTACAGATTTTCAAATTTTTTCTGTTACCAATTCATTGGAAGAAAGCGTTGCATTTGAACAAGAATCAAATGGAATTTTATTTTCTATTTCCCTTTTTTTATGATCTATTGTAGTTACTGAGATATTTACTATTCTGCACTATGAAAAACGCCCTCTGTAGTGTAGAATAGTGAATATCTCAGTAATTACAACAGATTATAATATAAAAAAAGGAAAACAGATCCCATTTGATCCTTGTTCAAATGCAAAACTTTTGCGAAACTTTCATCCAATGAATTGGTAACAGAAAAAACTTGAAAAATCTGTAAATGATTGGCTTTTTCTGAATGAATTTTAGGTGACTGTCCAGAGAGATGCTATGAATCGAGCATGCTCAACTTGTAAAAATGTGCTGATCTCCAGTGGTGTATACATCTTCACCCGCTGTCAATAAAGACAATAAATTTCATATTTTTGGTCAAGTTTTCATTTTATATTTATGTTATTGAAGTCCTTTATAGGTTGTTTCCCGCTAGCCGTCAAAAATAGCCGTCAATTGACGGCTAGCAGGAATTTTGAAAAAGGCTAGCCGTCAGATCAAAAACTATGTAAAAAAGGCAAAATGGCTGCCGAAATAAAGAGATTTCGAAATAAAAGAGTAATTAAGCCGTTTTAAGCCATAAAACTATGGGAATTAAAAGGATTAAATTGATTTTGACCTAAAAACGATACTAAAGCAGATATATCTATCAAACTTGTGATTGGTTCTTTTATATTATATGTGATATTTTATAGATCATAACTGTTGATGATTTTTTGGATTGCAAGAAAGGCAGAGAATTCTTTTTTCTACTATATTGTCTTCTGCATTCATCTGTATCATTTCAAACATTCAATTCGTGCAACGGAGTAAAGAGCGATGAAATTCAAAAACACTTCTGAAGTGTGGAAAAATTGGAAATTTGTTTCGTCAGCCATTCTGAGTATCAAAAGGCGGTGTTCTTTCTTAGAGAATGCATTAATCTCAGCAGTTTTCTGATGTATAAGGCTCAATTAAACATGTTAATTGTGTGAAAATCTCAGAATAAAGATTTACAGAAGTGAGAAATGGATGAAAAGGTTGATGTCTAACTGAGCGTAAATGATTTTCCTTAATTGCATCATGTTCCCGAAGACAAAACCGGGTAAAATATGCGATTAAGCCAGTAACTTGATTACCGCAGTTCTTCAAAAGTGTAAAGGAATGAGAACCTTCCAACTTAATTGGATCAAAATCTTCTTCCTCAATGCGTACTGCAGTCTGTAAGAAATGATAATACTGTTCCATCAAAAAATATTTCAAAAAAAATTTGTTTTTGAAAAAGTTATTGGACTTTTTTGTTTTGCCTGTCCAAGAAAAAACTGCCCGATGCTCATGTTTCTCTTCCAATTTCGAAAAAAAATCTCCGGATTTCCCTTCGGATTTTTTATAAAAAATCTCCTGATTTTTAACGAAAAGCTCTTGATTTCGACAAATTGGATTTAGGCACCCTGATCCCGGGGCTTGCAAAGGTTACGTAACGTTTTCTCAGACTACTTTCACCATGTTTTACCCGGTTTTTTCTTCGGGAACATGATGCAAGCAAGCTATCTTGTTCACTGAGGGCTCAGTTGGAGAGTGAGCTGAAACAAAATACAGAGTAAT